GCCATAGGCTCACAGACTCTTTTCAGCACATTTAATCATCAGTTTTACACCTGTCAGGACAACTGAAGTCTGTAACACCAGCGCTGCACTCTCCAGGGAGAGAACAAGCATTAATTGCTCATGTGTTTCTCTTTTGAGGGCTTTCCAAGTGGCTCAGTGGTATAGAATCCACCTGCCAATGCAGGAGATGCAGGTTTGATTCCTGGGTGGGGAAGATTCCAAGCAGAAGGAAATGGCAACCCACTCCAGTGTTCTTGCCCCGAGAATCCTATGGACAGAGGAGCCTGGCAGGTACACTCCATGGGGTCACAGAGAGTCAGACACGACTGAGCTCATACACACAGAGTCAGCAGTATTTCTCTTTTGACTCCATATCCAGCTTTCTTCCCACAGCCTAGGGAAAGTACTTAAAACTGTACTAGGAAGCAAGGGTTAACGAGGCCACACACAAGTCTGTGTACAGACGTTGATGACGGGTGTGAATTGGCAGGTCTAGGTCAGGCTTTCTGAGCCCTGGGTGGTTCGGCGCTGAGCTGCTGGACTGTGAGAAGGTGGACCAGGTGGGGCTCCGGCCCGGCCACCTACACTCAGAGAGAGTGTCTCTAAAGCAAGGGAACACTCTTGGAGAACATGGATGTGGTTACCTGCTGTTCTTCAGAGCGTTTGGGGGCCACTGCCTGCAGCAGAGTTGGGGTAGGTCTTGGCTTGCTGGTGTCTGTAGTTCTAGGAAGAGTCGCAATCAAGCTGTGTCCCCTGGATGGCCGTATTTCAAAGTACGTAAAGTTTGCTCAATGATTCAGTTTTAGAATTTGCGGGACGCTTCACATGTGTCTTGCAAGGAATGTGTCTTCTGGCAAAGCCTCGCTGTTCAGATGTGAGCTTCAGTCTGAGGGGTTTTTCCCCATCTGTCCCTCCCTCCCTCTGGACTTCTGCTTTGAGTAAAGTGTACATTTTGGTTTTATGTATTACAATTCTGTACCACCCAGAATGCAAGCTCTCTCCTTTCCTGTCTCCGATGGGGCTGCACAGTGTCAAAGCACAGCCACAGCCGGTTCTCCCCGAGCTGCCCTGTGGGCATGAGCTTAAAGGAGCCAGCGTCTCATTTCCTGCCTCTGCACACCTTCCTTTCACCCGCCCCCATCGCTTCCTGGAGCGTGTTTGCTCTCAGAAGGATTTGTTACCTGATCATCTAAGACAGCCACTGGTTTTCCTAAACCTGTCTGTCTGTCTCTCTGTTTTTTCTTTTCTGTATCAATGAGGAAAGCAGGTTGCGTAAGTGCAAAAAAAAAAAAAGAAAAACCAACAACTGCCTGTAGATTTGTGATCAGTTTATTGTCTGCAAATTTTTTGTACTTCTGTTTTTTCTAGCATGCTGTTTCTGAACCTTTTTGTCACAGGGTAATGATATAAACGGGTTTATGCTCACGTGTGCTTAAGTTGTCTGTGCTGTTTGATTTAGTAAATGAATTAAGCAACCCATAATAGCCTGTTTTTATATGTACATACTGCAAAATAATAATAATAATACAAACTTTTCCCCCGTCACTCTCATATTTTCCTGTGGCATCAGGGGAAAATGTTTTAATACACCCTCTTATGTTTTTTTCTAGAGATATGCAAATTAAACTGACAAAAGATGACTTTTATTCATGTGAATAAGTGGGAGTTCATAGAAAACTGTGACTGCAGGAAGTGGTTAGGGCATCTTAACAGGGGAAAGAGGTAGGAAAAGCCACTTATGGAAAATGAGTAACTTTTAGGAAAGATGAGGGCCCTGTAGAATAGGTGAGAGACAGGCTAGTTTTGTGCCGGTGTCTGTTTAACTGAGGGCTCCTCCTCACAGTGTTAAGAGTCAGTCTTCCCTGGTAGGAAGGAAAAGAGTACCTTTTCCTTGCAAGGAACGGAAAGGATTTATGTCAACCGAGTTCTCCTGCTTTCAGGGAAAAGGAAAGCCTGTTCTTACGTGTCTGCAGCTCAAAGTGGTGTTTATTCGCCATGGTGTATTCTGGACCCCGTCTGTGGTGACTTGAATTGGACATAGATGTCCGGGCTGTAAAAATCGAACTGGCGGGTCAGCAGGGAGTGGAGTTTGCCAGAACCCACTGCCTTCTGAGGAGAGGTGACTTGGTATATCTGGAGAAAGAAATGGCAACCCACTCCAGTATTCTTGCCTGGGATATCCCATGGACAAAGGAGCCTGGTGGGCTACCATCCATGGGGTCACAAAGAGTCGGACACGACTGAGGGACTAAACAAGGACCACTTGGCATATGGGCACATCGTGGCGTAGTGGGGACAGGTTACAAGGCCCACACTTGGTGTCTGTTGCTGCTGACTGGCTGCATGGCCCTGAGCAAGTCACCAGACTTCCCTTGGTCTCAGATCAGAAGTACGTGACCTGCATTTCAGGTGTCAGTTGCCACTGATTGACGAGAGGCGGGACTTGTTGGGCCAGTCCTCAGGGCAGGACTCTGGGGGTTTGGGGGTGGGGAGACATCAACCAGAGTGGCCGCTCTGCCTGCCCTGCCATCTCATGACTTGCCTGGTTGTTCCAGCCCTCCCTGGGTGGGGTTCTGTTTTACTTTCAAATCGTTGTTACACAGTGTCTCGGGATGGAGGAGCTGAGGGCACCAGGCTTCTAGGGACCGCTGCCTGCTCTGAGCCCAGACGTGGAAGGTCTGTGGGCTGAGCCCTCGTGGTGGTTCTCCCGCACAGCGCTTTGAGAGCAGTGACTCACCAGGGCTTAGGTGGATGGGCACCCTGATCCTCACGGTTGCACTTTGTCCTCCCAGCACCCAGATGGGAGCAGTGGCTGAAGCAAGTCCGCAGACCTCAGGCAACTTGCCTGGAGCCACAGAGCCAACCCCAGGCCCAGGCAGACTAGATAGAAGTCTGCCCACTCCCACACCTTGGGGGTTCTCCTGGTACATGGCATTGCCTCTGAAACAGCCACTTGAGACTTTGGGAAGTGTCGTCGAATTCCGGGCGGCAAACTCTCCACCTGTGGGGTTGTCTGGTCTGGAATCTGAGATCCTGACAGGTTAGTGGTGACTAGTTCAGGCACACCCAGCTAGTTAGTAGGCTGATCTGGTTCAGTGCTCACCCCATCAGACCAAGTCCCCAGATGTCGGGCCGAGCAGCAGCCCAGACTCAGTCCCCTTAAGACACATTGTCTGTGAACCTGCTGAGAGAAGGTGCCTTGGATAGCAAATGCAGCCTTTGGGCCATTTCTCCTGCAGGCCTGTGTTACCTGAGCTTTATTATTTATCTGTTTTATTTATAGAAGTTGTGTATATGGGCTTCCCTGGTGGCTCAGTGGTAAAGACTCTGCCTGCAATGCAGGAGACCCAGGTTCTATCTCTGAGTTGGGAAGATCCCCTGCAGGGGGGTATGCCAACTCACTCCAGTACTCTTGCCTGGAGAATCTCATGGACAGAGGAGCCTGGCAGGCCGCAGGCCATGGGGTCACACAGAGTTGGACATGACATGAAGTCGGACATGACTGCCGCAGCAGCGGCAGTGTGTATCTGTCAGTCACAGTCTCCCGAGTTATCCCTCTCTCCCCTTATCGCCTGGTAACCGTAATTTTGTACTCTACATCTGTCACTCTTATTTCTCTTTTGTAGGTAGCGTCACTTGTACCCTTTTTTTAGATTCCACATATAAGCGATATCACATGACACTTGTCTTTCTCTGTCCAGTTCACTTATGATAATCTCTAGGTCCATCCATGTTGCTGCACATGGCATTATTTCATTCTTTTTAAGGCTGAGTAATGCTCCATTGTATTAATGTATATGTACCACATCTTCTTTATCCATTCCTCTGCTGATGGACATTTGGGTTCTTTCCATGTCTTGGCTATTGTAAGTAGTGCTTCAGTGAATATTGGGGAGAATGTATCTTTTTGAATTATAGTTTTGTCTGGATATGTGCTCAGAAGTAGGATCGCTGGATCATATGGCAGCCCTGTTTTTAGTTTATTAAGGAACCTCCATACTGTTCTCCATAGTGACTTCACCAAGTTACATTCCCACCAACAGTGTAGAAAGGTTCCTTTTCTCTGCACCTTCTCCATCATTTGTTGTCTGTATATTTCTTGATGATAGGAATTCTGATTGGTATGAGGTGATACGTCATTTTAGTTTTGGTTCACCTTTCTGTAATAATGAGTGATGTGGAGCATCCTTGCATGTGCTTTTTGTCTTTCTTCTTTTGAGAAATGTTTATTTCACTTTCACCCATTTTTTGATTTTTTTTTTTTTTTGCATTGAGCTGAATGAGCTGTTTGTATATGTTGGAGATTAACTCCTTAGTTGTCTCTTTTGCAAATATTTTCTCCAATTCTGAGGGTTGTCTTTTCATTTTCTTTATGGCTTCCTTTGTTGTGTAAGAGTATACTACAAAGCTACAGTAATCAAAACAGTATGGTACTGGCACAAAGCCAGAAATGTCAATCAATGGAACAGGTTAGAAAGTCCAGAAATAAACCCACATGCCCACGGTCAATTAATCTATGACAAAGGAGGCAAGAACATACAATGGAGAAAAGACAATATCTTAAATAAGTGATGCTGAGAAAACTGGACAGCTACATGTAAAACAATGAAATTAGAACATTCCCTAACATCACACACAAAAATAAACCCAAAAATGGATTAAAGACCTCAATGTTAGGCCAGGTATTATAAACCTCTTAGAGGAAAGTGCAGGCAGAATACTCTTTGACATAACCTAGACTAATGAAAATGGAAACAAAAATAAACAAATGGGCACTGATTTTCTTAGTATCTTGTATGATGGTTCATCATGGGTCACAAACATCACTACTGAAATTAGGGTTTTAATTAAGCCTCCGATTAAAGACAGATTTGCCTCTTCTCATCCATGTTTCAGTCACTTTTTTCTGGCACACAGTCAGCTTGGTGGGGAGGGATGGGGGCTTGTTCTCACTGCCTTCCTGGATATCACCCTTACTTAACTTGTTCGCATTTGAAAAGGTTGTGACTGAGGGGTCCTGGAGGCAGGCTCCCCCACCGGAGGAAGAGAGGACGGAGGCTCAGAGGATCCCCAGGAGGAGACTGGGGTCTGGGAGGAGGTCGAGGCCCCGACCACTCTCCGACTATGGCCAGCTGGTCGCCCGAAGTCTGTCTATCCCAGAAGATGCAATCGCCGTGGACCCCCAGAAAGAGGACACTGTGGACAGTGATCACCAGCCCAGCGTGGCCCCCACAGACCCTGAAGACCAGACTCCTGCTGGCGGCTGTCCCCGGGGGGGCCCGAGAAGACGCCCCATCTCTGTGATCGGCGGGGTCAGCTTCTATGGGAGCAGCCAGACGGAGGAGGGGGAAACCCTCCTGCCCCAAGTAAGACCAGGCGTGCTGCCCCCAGAGCCTCCTGGCCTCTGTCCTCTTGCTGCAGACTTCCCAGACACGTTTTCCTTTCTTCTCTCTGCCTCAGGGATGGCGGCATTTGCTCACAGCCTTTCTTCCTGACTCTGAAAACATGCATGAATTAGAACTAACCCACTGACATTTGGATGGCTCTGACTAATCTTCTGTCTTTCTGGGATCTCAGATAATATGTGAAACTGGTTTGCTGTTTGTTCTGAATCATCTGGGGAAAGTAGCCGTGTGTATTTAGTGAGCTTCCTCAAAGAAGAAATCTGGAAAGAAAATGCCTTTTATCCCTAAAATGGAAAGACAAGAAGAAAATTGATTTTTTTCTAGCTGAGAAAGTAATTTTTTCTGCCATTTTATTACTCTTTACATGTCAGCTGCAGCTTTGTAACTGTTTTGAAAGTAGATTAAAATCTTAATATTATTCCCTTAGTATATTTTAGAAATTCAACAAATGGTTATCAATTACCCAGAAAGCCCTTTGAGGATACAAGCATTTAAATAAAGGCCCCCATTCAGAAGGAGTTTATATTTGGTGAGGTCTTATCCCAGCCATGGTCAAGGGTCCACAGAACCATACATGAGTAAGTGTGGGTTTCATTTTTCCTTTTTTTAACTTGCTAGTTGATATCATAAATAACTCAGGAAGAAAGTGAAAATGTTAGTCACTCAGTCATGTTCTATTCTTTGTGACCCCGTGGGCTGTAGCTCACCAGGCTCCTCTGTCCATGGATTTTCCAGGCAAGAATACTGGAGTGGGTTGCTGTTCCCTTCTCCAGGAGATCTTCTTCAGGGATCAAACCCAGGTCTCCTGCATTGCAGGCAGATTCTTTACCACCTAAGCCACCAGGGAAGCCCTAAATAACCCACACATTCTCTTGAAAAGGCAGTAATATATTGGTATTGGATTTTCTGTTTCCATTCTCCCTGTAACCCTGGCACAGTGCTTATTTATAGCAAATGCCCCCAAAATCTCATGCTTAATTGAACTAATTTGAATTCAGTCAAGGTGAAAGCATGTTGAAAGTATGTTGAAGAATACTGCAGACTTTTTGCTGTGTTGAGATGCTCTACATGTGAGGAAATAATTCTGAAGGTGGCTGTCCTCACCATGGTATCACAGGAAATGATTCTGAATAGAAGCAAATCTATTCTAATGTGAAACACAGTCTAGGGGCGATCTAAGCACTTAAGACAGTTTTTCACTTCAGAGCATCCAAAAGGAGCATAGTAAGATAATTTTCTGCCCCCTAAGCTTGTTTAGGGAACTAGATAGAGAAATACTGAGAAAGCCTATGGAAAGCATGGACCAACATGGCCTTCGGTGTTGTTTTAGGGACGACTCGTACGGAAGATCCCAGGGGCTATAGATGGTTCTAAATTGGTGGAAAACCAACTCTCCTTTTAGACAAAGCTCACTGTCCTGTTAGTTAAGGCGAACGAGAACTGTGTTCCACAGATGCTGGTCCCTGCCTGCGGGTGGGTGTGTGTGTGGTCGGGTGGGGGGTGTGGGAAGGAACGGTCGCGGGCCTCAGTCACTGGCACCGCCTCGGCTCCCCTGGGGGTGCTGTTGGACGCCGTCCCTTCCTCCACCGGGGTCTTTCCTGAGTGTCTCCCGCGGTGTGTCCCGCCCGGTGGCTGAAAACCTGACACCCTGAGGGTCTGCACTGGGGTTCCGCGTTGGAGGAAGGTTGCCCTTGAGCCTGTGCAGCCGTGACCTGGGGCTTCGAGGCTCCCAGCCCCACTTCCTGCCTCTCCTCACCACCCCTTCTTTCCTTTGCAGCCTGCCGCCCGGCCGCCCGTGCCCGCACACCAGGTGCCACCCTACAGGGCGGTGTCAGCCCGGCTGCGGCCCTGCGCCTTCTCCCAGAGCACCCCCATCGGGCTGGACCGCGTGGGACGCCGGCGGCACCTGAGAGCGTCCAACGGTGAGTCTCACAGGCCCCCCCGGGCAGGTCCCTCTCCTGGAGGCGGGTGTGGAGTCGTTGCTCATTCCGGGAGCCCGGTCCGTTGCGCCCGTCCGGCCTGCCCTGGGCCCACTGGCTGTCAGAGCCAGCCTTGCAGGGGTAGGCCTGGCGCCCCTGTCCAGAGAAGGTGCCCTATGGGCTCTGCGTCGTCCCAGTGACCTTGATCTTGAGAAGTCTGGGTCCTGCGTTCCTGCTGTGGTGATCTGACCATGAATGGGCTCCTGGGGATTTGTCTTAACCTTCTGAAAGCTCTTCCTGAGAGTTTGAGATTCACCCATACTGTTTATCTAATAGATGGTATATGCATGGAAGACTTTATCTAATAGAGCCATGCATATGCCAGCCTGGGACTTACCCAGTGAACACTTGCCGACCTGACTTTAGGTTCCTGTGCATGGACACTGATGTCTGAGCCAGCCCGCTGGTTGGACAGTGGCCTTGCCAGCTCACGGGCGGGGATAGGACCGGCAGTTTTGTGGGGCAGACACCTTCCTGTGTGCTCTGAGGATTAATTCATCTGATCTCAGCTCTGTGCTAGGCGGATGCTCTTGTGATCCTCGCTTTACAGATCAGAAACCCCAAGAGTAAATAGATAAACCACCCAGGAAGTGGCAGAGAAGGAACTTGAATCTACAATCGGGTAGAATTTTCGCTGCAGGCCCATGTTTTTAACCACTGAGCTGTGCTGACTCTTTAAATAGAGACAGTGGACAGCTAGCCAGTCTGTGCTAACTTCAGTGCTGACTTTTTCTGTCTTGTCTTTGAGGACGAGCCTCGCACATGAGCGTGAGTGAGGGACAGGGCGCTCAGAGGCCTCACCAGCTCGCCCTCGGAGGGCACGCCCTCCATGTGACAGTGGTGACCGCAGCCACACAAAGGGGCGGGATTTAAAGAGTGTCCTTTCTGGAGACTTGAAGGAGGGTATTTCTCGGTGTCACTTAGGTTTCAGGGAGTGGGAGGAGGAGGGACCAGGGCTCGTGGAGAAGTGACCCAGAAATGGTTGTCCTGGGAGTGTGTCCTGGGAGGTCCGCGCCTCGGGCTGAGCAATCGACCTGAACGTATGGCTGAGGAATTGTCCCCTCCTCTCCCACCATCGGGTAGCCTGGTTTCTACCCCAGGAGGAACCCAGTCTGAACTCTCATCAGACAGGGCGACAAGAAAGAGGAATTGGAGGATGGCTGGGGGCCAAGGAAGTTTTCGACCATCTCTTGATTTGTGTCCTCTCAGCTGAGCAGGTGGGGCCCCTGGGATCGCACCCCCACCCTCATCCCAGGGCCCCTGCCTCTCCTCGGGCCTGGCTTCTATCCACACTGGTTCTGAGCGCCTGTTCCTGTTCGGTTCTTACTGCCGTTTCCCTGCGAACTTCCCTGTGATTACTGGAATAAAGTCCCAGCCCCGTAAGGAGTTCACAGGCTCTGCCGCCTGCCCACCTGCCATCTGCGCCTCTCCTGTCTCCCACCCGCTCTCCTACCCACCACCTGGCTCGCAGCCTCACTCTGCCCAGAACCTCCTTCCTTCCCTTCACACACGGCAGCATTTGTTCCGCTCAGAACTCAAACCCACTGCCCTGGGGACCCCAGTGACAAATGCATCGTCGATCATCCTTCTGCTCATCAGTCCCTTCTGTCCCACCCAGTCATCAGCGTCCGGTGATGTATCTTAGGAAAGTTATTACAAGGAGAGAAAAGGCTCTGAGCGCACGATGTCCTTCCCAGCGTTACCTGTGATGGAAAGAAGTCGAAGCAAGTGTCCACTTTCGGTGGAATAGTGAGCTTGGCGTCTATGGGTGACCGCTTCAAAACAGCTTACGGCATCATCAGGAAAAAGTCTGTAACGACAGGGAAGGTGACCACTGTAATGTAAGAAAAGTGAGGAAAAAAAGGAAGTAAAGTCACACATATATTGTTTTATTTACTAGGGCTGCCGTCACAGAGTACCACAAACTGGGTCCCTTCATCAGCAGGACAGAATTGTCTCCATTCTGAAGGCTGGAAGCAGGGCAGATTCCTTCCAAGGCCTGAGGTGGGGACCCTCTGCTGTTTCTTGGCTCCTGGCGGCCTCGGGTCCCCTGACCTCAGCGTCTGGCTATATCTCCCTGGTCCCTGCCTTCATCTTCACGTGGTGCCCTCAAGAATTAGGGGCACCATCCTAATGACCACCTGTCAGCTTGATCATTTATAAAGAGCTTGTTTCCAAATAAAGACACATCCTTGCTGGTACTGAGGGTTAGAATTTCAGCATCTTTTGGGGGGTACACATTCAGCCCGTGATAAACCATGATCACAACCCTATGCAGCATGCTCACATGCAGCCAAAGGTTTACCACGAGTGTGCAAAAGTGAAAATACTGTAGTTAGGTGGGTAGGGATGTGGATGGTTTCTCCTCCAACCCTGTACTTATACAAACAGCTTATTTCTGTGCTTTGTGGAACCATGTTTTGTTTTGAGTTTAGTGTTCTTTTGTTGAGTAGTAGCAAAAACTAACCCTGCCTAGCTGGAGCAAAAAGAGACTGTCTTGGGAAGGTGTCAGGTGTCCCCAAAATTGATGGGGTGGCTGGAAATGCATCTAGGAAATGCCTGGCAGTCAGGGTGGCCCCTGGGAGTCAGGGATCCATGTGGAAGGAGCCAAGGAGGACACCATCCATCTGTCCTTGAGTCACTCACTCAGGAGACAGAGTCCCAGGAAGGGGGTTCAGCCCCCCAGCTCAGGTGATAGGTCCACCAGCTCGGGGCACGGGGGCCAGGAGGAGGGTGGGTCCTCCAGGGATGAGGCGGCAGGTGTGTGGATTCCCCAACTTCAGTGGAGGACGGTCACTCCTTCAGGGAAATCATTCATTCATTTATTCAGTGTCTGCCAAGGGCCTGCCATGTGCTGGGAGCACAGCGAAGCCCCTTTCGTCTCACAGGTCCTCGTATGGAGATGATGAGTTAACAAGGAGCTGTAATACCGTGGGGGCACCGTGAAGAAGGGTGAAGCAGGTGGAGGGTGTTCTTTGCGGGGAGGGGGTGGCGCATGCTTGCAGGATCTTAGTTCCCTGACCAGGGACTGAAGCTAGGTCCTCAGTGGTGAAAGCGCAAAGTCTTAACCACTGGACCACCAGGGAATTCCCAGGCATTCGTTTTTTAAAAGGTCATGGCACACCAATTCCTGTCTAATGAGAACCCTCTCAGTCTTTCCCTGAAAGCAGCCCAGAGGCTCACTGGTCACTGCTGGCATCTCCAAGTCCAGGGCCTCTGAGCAAGTGCCTCCCTCCTCCAGGCCCACCACTGTTTGCCAGAAGTAAATTTAAGCAGCACACACGTCTCCAGTGGAAAGAAATGGGAGGAGAGGAAACAGAAAACACGAAGACATCATGTGTGCACACACGCAAAAACCCGAAGACATCATGCGTGCACACGTGCAATACCAGGAAAGGACATACCTCCCCTCTGCGGCCGGCTGTGGGGCACACGTGCTGTCTCTCCCTCTGCAAGTCTGGTCTCCGTGCGCTCCAGACCCCCTGCCCCTCGCAGCACCTGGTGCTTATCTTTGCCCTCTGAGGTGCTCCAAGCCTTTTCTCCAAGATTCTGAGCTGGCAGTGGTCCTGCTTGCTTCTAGTCATCACGGTCTCCTTTATTTCCCTCTTAGTTGAAAACCTGTCAGTCTACAAAAAAAAGAAAGAAAAATGTGTGGAGCATCAGCTCTGAGCCAGGCACCACTGTCCCTGCTGGAGTAAAGCAGAGAGTAAAGCATCGCGAAGCATGTGTGTTCCCACATTTAAACAGGAGCAGTGAGTGGATACGCAGGGCTCCCTCAGGCACTAGTGTGCCTTCTGGAGAAGGTGAAGGTGGGAGTGGTGGAGGGCGACCTCGTGTCTCTGAGGAGGTGACCTTGGAGCCGAGACTTGGAGGATGAGCAGGGAGCGAAGATCTGAGGGAGCAGAGGTCCCAGTCAAAGGAACATCGAATGCCCAGGTCAGGCAGGAGCTCGGTGTGTCTGAGGCTCAGTGAGAAGGCCGGGTGCCTGGAGCTTGGGAGTCCAGGACGGGGGAGGCCGGGGCAGCCTGGAGGCTGGAGAGAGTCTGGATAGACAGGGCATCGCAGGTCTCGAGGAGTCAGGGTTGTTCCAAGTGAAGTGGAAGCCGTTGCCAGCTGGGCTTCGGGGAGCAAGGCCAGAGGAAGGAGGCTGATTGGAGGTTGCCGCATTTGTCCAGTTGGGAAATGCTGGTGGCAGGGACCGCAGAGGACACCACGTGCTCCCCGGGTGCTCATTCCTCGTGCACGAGGAGGCTCACCAGCCTGGCCCGGGCTCAGAGCCAGCGGCACCAGGGCTAGGACACTGCTAGGAGCCCCTCGTGAGAGGGGAGGAGATTCAGCTTTGACAGAGCAGAGTTACTGGGTGGAAAGAAAACACTCTGCAAGTGTGTTATTAAGTGATCGTGAACTCCCGTGTTGACCCCTTCGTTTCTGCACTGCGGTGAACAGCAACCTCTCCGGGGAGATTCTAGCAGGACTCTTGATAGGCAAGACAAACAAATCCAAATCTAGAATAAGTGTCTCTTCCAGGAAAGACAAACCACCTATTGTGAAAAGGGTCCACTGTAATCAGCTTCCCACAAGTAGCCGTCTGGGTCCTTCAAGGCACTGTATCATTAACTTTGTTGAGGGGACACCCGTGGTTGAGCCCAGGCTTGGCATCTGTTTCTGCCACCAGGGCTGTTTTATTTTTTGAATCCACTGAGTCAGCATCAAGATGACCAGGAACAAAGATGGGCATTTGCAGGGTGGACATAATGTCACACAGTTGTTAAACAACCTTGTTTGCAGTGGATTTCCATGGGACGGGTGGTTTCCTGTGCTGGGGCGTGTTCTGATATGACCAGTCACATCCTCCCTGGAGCAGTCCAGTAACCCAGAGTGTCCTTCCCAAGCTCCTCCAGGGGCTCCTCGGCCAAGCCATTCACTCTGGTCCACATGCGTAA